GAACCCAGTTGCTATTTGTATCGGCGCAAGTTAGGTAATGTAGAATTGCAGAACTTAGAAAAGTTTCAGATAAATATTCCATGAGAAAAAGATGTATCGATATCACAAATTAAATCAGGATCCAAAATAATTAATTTTATTTTTTTGTGGATTTTTTTTCTACTTGAAAACAGAGAATTGTGGGTTTTGGTTTTTAGGGGTTTTTTTCCCCCCAAAAGAAGCTACTTATTTAGTATTGTTTCAGAGACATATTTATAGCAAGTGATTACATTCTCCCTCACTGAACACAGGGAAGATAAAACAACACAGCTCATTATTTTCATTTTATTAAAATTTGCTAATTACTATACTTACCTTTATTTCTTCTATGTCTGCTGTTTGGAGTTTCTCTCTGAAATGTTTGTCTGTCTCCAAAACCTCTATCACTTGCCTGAGATAGACATCATAATACAATCCAGTGTCCTTTAAGATATATATATATATATACATATATAATTACCATTAGGTTAATAAAATAGAGGCAGAGATATTATAACTACAGTAGGTGTTCTTATCCTTGCAGATTTTCCAACATCCAAACATAATCTTTTGTTGTTCAGTGCAGAAGATGTAGCAAATTCACACAGCAAGAATTAACTTTAAATACACACACATCCTATGAATTTAATTCAATTTGAAGTGCCACGTTTTGGATTCTACTGGCACCTAGAAGAAGAAAATCTTTTTCTCTTTTCTCTCTGAAATTATAATGGAGACTTCCCCAAGCTAATGCTAACCTTTCCAGGATTGAGGAACTGGTCTTGCAGTTCCAGTTCCAAACACTTTTAAAGATTGCCAGATTGCTTTGAATCTTTTGAGACAGCCTTCCTTCAGAAGCAAGTCACGTTTGGCAAGTTCTTATTCAATGCATTAACTCTTTCTTAAAATGTTTCTGCCAACAGAAAACAAAGGCCTGCTTCTCCTAATCAGGTCATCTTTGTTTAGGAAAATAATTACAGTCTCTTCCACTTTGCAAAGAGGTCTGTAAGTTTAAACCAAACTACTGTATGTTATTTTTTCCTAGACCAAGCCAATCACCCTGTAAAAATTTCAGGATCAGAAGTCAAGATGAGAGGAATTTGACCAATTTTATCTCTAAAACCCAAAATCAAGGATCCTCTGGCTTAGATCCAAAAAAGATTACAGCCTGTCAAGCTCCATCCTAAACTACAGATAGATAGATAGATAGATAGATAGATAGACAGACAGACAGACAGACAGACAGACAGACAGACAGACAGACAGACAACCTTTATTGTCATTTTTTCCTGTGGGCACAATGGCACACATTAAAAATGAAATTTAGCTGCTTCCTCTCAAAGTGTACACATACATAACACATTTAAAACATACTATATACAACGTATTTATAGACCTACACCCTTACATATAAGTAAC